TTAGAAACAAAGAGTTCAAAATATTGGTGGTAAGAACTGTCAAAAACTTGTGATAGCTATGATGAAGAGGTTAGTAAATTAAAAGTGCATTCCTATAAATACTCTGTTTAATTTTATAATGATATTACTCCCATCTTACAATCCATAATACAAATCCCATGCATGGCTCTACGTTAGCCGTTTTACCATAATGGGATGACTGAATAACCGTGAATTTCATACGCGCAAACTAGCACATGTGCGAAGCAGTTACAAAAACTGGCACAATGCCAAATGGCATAAGTGCAAATGGGCATAACTGCGCAAAAAGAATTCCAAACATTGGTATAAGTGCAAACTGCTATAAGTGCAAACTGGCTTATGTGTAAATTGGCATAAGTGTGCTAAATAAATTTGCAAAATTTAGCATAATTGCAAACTGGCATAACTGCAAACTAGCATAAGGGCAAAATGCCAATTAGCACTTAGGCCAATGTTTGCAAATTTATTACACGCACTTATGTCAGTTCGCACTTCTGCCAGTTTTTGTAACTGTTTTGTACTTAATCAAATTTTGCACTTATGCCTATTCGTAATGTTTGCAAACCTGTTTGGCGCACTAATGCCAATTTACACTTTTTCCAGTTTGCAAGTTTAAAGCTATAGGTTATCCTATAGCTTTAAACTTTAGTCCAGATAATTCTTTTAACCCAGATAATATTCATATATATGACTACACTAATGGTTAGTGTACACTAATGATCTGGACTACATTAATGGTTAGTGTGCTATTTTTTAAATAATAGATTAGATTTAACTAATAGATAAACTGTATCGTTAAATTAAAATCTAAATGTTTAATTACATTTAGATTTTATGAAAAAAAAAAAAAAAATTTTAAATACAGTAGTTAATTATAATTTCATAAATTATAAGATATAATATTATTAAAATATATTATTTTTAGTTTTATGACAAATTCACTCATGGCCAAATCTAATATGGCAGCTGGAAAAGGCAAAGGATCTTTTTAGTCTAACCAAGCTATACAACTTAATAAAAGGTACGTTTATATATATATATATATATATATATATATATATATATATATATATATAACATATATATATATATATAAATCTATATATAACAATTATTAGGCGGGATTGTATTTCTAATTTACCGTATACTAACCTGTTTCCTTTTTTTCTCCTCTTCAAGCACTATATATATATATATATATATATATATCTATATATATACATATATATATATATATATATATATATATCAATATAGTAGGCGGGATTGTATTCCTAATATACCGAATACTAACCTGACACACCATCATGATGATATATGATATACCTGATATCTACTATAAATATATCAAATGAGGGAAGAAGACAATTATCTAAAATGTCAATATATCTATCAGCATATAAGTCGACCTATCAAATAATCGATAGCATCCAAGTCCTGCATAATTCATGTAAGCCCAAATGCCAATACTGCCACTACCTTGCTCAGTTCGTTTTAATGTACAATTTGAATCAAAACTCTCTTGAGGTGATCGCCGGAGGATAACACGGCATTTTCGCATATCTACCTCCACATACATTTCATTGGAGAATATAACATTTTGCCACTTGCAATCAGGCCAATTTTTATGCTGATTGCACCAGGGCAACCCTTGCTTTTTGTTGTTTCTTTGAAAGTCTTGGCTTCTTGCATGCAGATCGCCACATATATATTATTTCTATGAAGAATTCTTCTAACAGTTCTTGAACTCACTTTTATTCCAGATGTATTGTTTAATTTATGGCAGAGAGCGTTTGACGATAACTTTCTGTCATGTTTCATTAAACAAATTAACAAACGTTCATCTCTTTGTGTTGTTACAGCTGGCCCGACCAGATAGGCGTCGGGTCCTTAATGTCACCTGTTTCACTAAAACGTTTTAAAATATGTGCAACAATCGAATATGCGATATTTAACTCATTTGCTATCTGGCGATGATAGTCCTTGGTTTCGAAGAAAAATTGATTCATAACGTGTTTTTTCAGAGATTCTTGATCGTGATTTTGGAGTTTTATGCTGTATTTCTTCACTTATTTTGTAACTTTTTTATTATTCAATTTATTTGTGTTTTTTTTAGTACTATTTCAAACAAAAACAAAAAAAAATTAGAAATAATAAACGCAGATGAAAATGAAATAAAAATTATTAAAGAAGATCATCAATATATTACTTAAAATTTAATATATAAAACAGTGAGCCTTAACTTTTGACCAACATAAAAAATAAAAATTTTTATAGTAGTTGTTATCAAATTATATATAATTAGGCGTACAAAATATATTTTAAGGTAACAACATGTCAAATAAACAGTAAACATAAAACTTATAAATTAGTACTAATAAATTTTTGAAAAAATATAATAGTTTTTAAAATAATTTAAATCAAACAGGATTATAAAACAAAAACAAAAGCGAGCTCTAATTTATGGCCAATGGTGTAT